TGATGAAGAAATTTGAACTTTGTAAAGCAAGCATGAAAGAGAACCAAGTGCTGAGTAATGCCCAAAAATTTTACTGATAATTTCAGTATGTGAAGTTCCCCGGGGTAAGATACACATTTGGACTTGGGACCCAGTGCTTATAAATAGAAAACATATCATAGTGAACAAGACTTCGGCCCACTTTATATATGCGATTAAATGGAAAAGACTATAATCCTTATGAAGTGATTATAGGGAAGACAAAATGCTAAACAAGCGCTTTCATTCACTCAAACCGAATAGTCAAGAGCATTTAGAAAGTGTGATACATTTAAAGGTCAAAGAAAGATTTAGAGTAATTAGAAATTAAAAATATGTGAGTATCACAAAAGATGCTAGAGAGAAAGAGAAGAGAACAAAAAGGAGAAAGAAGAGAAAGATATATTCTGGCGTGGTGCAAGGCCTGACCCGTTGAACCTACCGTTTACTAAAGAGTTCGGCCAGAATAGATGGTTCGGTATAGTATAGATAAAGTTTTACGGTGCACCACTGGCAATGTGTTTCCGATCCTTGCTTTGTATAACACGGAAATAAGCACCCAAGAGGAGTTGATCAGGCCAGATAACTATACTGATCCGGGTCAGAGGGACAACGCTCCATGTAGCCCTTCTCGATGAGGTTTTCAATACACCTCTTAATAAGTGGTATAGGTGGCTGGAAGCGATTTTTGGCCTGGTCCACAACACTCTTTACCAAGGCGTTGTGCTTTACCTGTTTCCGCGACTTCAAGATGCGCACGATAGCCGCTTGAATAAAGAAACGCCGATCGTCACCCGCCTGCTTTTCCACCTGCTCCTGGTCGGCCTTTTAGAAAGAGGAAGATGACGAAAAGAAGGGAATTGTTAGGGAAAAGCAAGAATTGAGTAAGGAATGAAAATGTATTTGTTTAACGAGTAAATCACTTTGAAATTTAACAAAGCGATAAGAGTTCGACTATCTGGCAGAGAACAGAGGACAAAGAAAGAAACAAATTTTTTTGTAGCCTGCAAAATCGGAAAAAAGTTACCTGGCTGTTTAAAGTAAGAAATAAATTA